AGGAGTTTTCTCTTAAAGTGGGCTCTACTTAAGATGACAGTAGGATGCTGGGCGGGCCAGGGTATTATCTGCTTATTGGCCAGAATTCCAGGAAGTGGGTCTGAATGCTATCATCTACACTTGCATTTACATGCTTACATATACTTAAACATTATTTTTTTTAACTTCCTTCAATTTTTATTACTCTTTGTGAGTAAAGTGAAATATTCTTCAAACTTCTAAAATTGCCTATATTGACTTAGGCATATGCTTCGGAAATTTTTAGATTATATCAAATGTGGCTGATTTGGATTTTTTTATCTGCCTCACAGTGGCACACATATTCTTATAAAATTAATTCCTTAGAGTACCTGATCTTATATGTTAATGTTAAAATTGACAGTATGCAGTGCTGTTAGTATCCTTTTTACTGTGGGGAAAAAAAGCAAAACTCTTTGTCTATAAAGTCAATCATGAATTCTATCTTCCATACCTAGCCCTCTGCTATTTAATGTTGTGGCATTGGACCTAGACTTTAAACATCCCAACTGAACCTCTTAGAATAGATTCATGTAAGACCCAAGTACAAACAGAATTGATTTGTGTGAGTGTTTTACCGTGATCTACAGCTACAGCATTTAAAGCACATTTCCTCATCATAAATTTTCCTTCTGAGACATGTCTGCTGTGATGTCGTGTAACATAAACAGCATCCATAATAGATAACCATGTCCAGACCTTAAATGTATTTCTTCTTCCTTCCTGTATACTGCTTGTGAGACTGTTGTTTCATCCTGTTTTCATGGAGTTAGAACATTCATGATAGAATGTGACTATGTTAGAAATCATCTTTTTTAGTAATTATCTTCACTCACATTCCGTCTCTTTATGTCCAGGAAAGCACTTCCAGGTTGTACATGGTCAAACCATATGCTTTTGTTTCAGGGTCTGTTGACATTCGGGGATGTAGCTGTGGACTTTCCCCAGGAGGAGTGGGAATGCCTGGACTCTGCTCAGAGGGCTTTGTATATTGATGTAATGTTGGAAAATTACAGCAACCTGGTCTCTGTGGGTGAGAACATTTTTCTTGTAGAATTCCTAACTCATCCTTTGTATGTACTGACTTCATAGGTTGTAAGCTCTCTGTTAAGCTATCCTTGAAGTCACAGGAGACTGGGAAATTTTGATAGTAGAAGGGAACTTTTTGTGATATTTATTTTTTTCTTTCCATTTTCCATCTTCAAGGTATCATGCACCCTTCATTTAGGTTCCAAGATGCATTCATGAACTCAGTAGCATATAATATTTCCATCACTATCTTAAAGCTCCATGTCCATCATTGTATTTTACATTGTTTTAATTGTGGGAAAAATGCGAGATGTGCAAACTGACAATTCCCCCTAAATATGTTGTAGATGCTGACAGGAAATAGCAATAGGAAATCATTAATTCCTCTACTTTCTGTTCTCTTCATGTACTGAGCCCAGTACTGTGTTGGACATCTATATTCTTTCTAAAAATTCTAGCATGGGTCGTGGGCTACCTCACAGAACACATGCATTATTATATGCAAGGTTGGCCTGGTCACCGGTTCAGTGCAAATGAGATTACCCTGGAATGTGGAGAGGAGAGAGTAGCCACAACCAGGGTAGGCTAGTGAATAAGCAGGACAGCAGTGAAGGGATCAAGTGAAAGAGAAAGCAAGAGATGAGAATGCTCTGACTATATTCAATTCTACTTAAAAAGATTTCTCATCATTTAACTTAGTAGAGTGTCCTGGCCCCAGGGTGCATCCTGTCTGTTGTAATAACTGTTAGAAGGTGTGTCGTATTGCATCTGAGTTATGGTGACATAATATTAATACAAAATGCAGTTTTATTTGACTATGCTGACATCAGATTGGAATAATTTTACAAATTGTTAGCTCATGTGAACCCACAAAGTAAGATTATTCTGTAATTGCCTTTCTTGTATGCATATCTTCATATTATAGCCTCCATTTTATTCCCAGTGAAGAATACAAAAACACCCTTCTGGGAAATAGTCTCAGAAGTCAGTGTACAGAATGGACTTGAGAATAACCCTGTGAGGAATGTTAAGAAACACAGCAGTGTGTGGAGCTTAGACAGTGGAGGATAGAAATAAGCAATAGCTGCCCATGACAGCCCTGCCTCAAATGATCTAGAACCTCTGATGTCTGGCAGAATACAGTCTTTACAGCTGAAGAATCTAATGCCTTGTTTTAGAAAATAAAATAAACCCTTTGATGCTTTTAATAAGCCTTTAATCTTAAATGGAATTGGGCCATTTATTTAGTAAGTACAGATACTGTGAATCTAGGATTGGGTTAAACTCTTCTTATTCAATTTCACAGAAAAATATTTTAAAATATTGACAAGTATTATAAATATGATCACTCAGTTATCTCTATCCCAAAGCTAATTACTGACCCTCAATTACTTTTCCCATGTTTTTCTAAGTTAGACATTTTCAATAAAGATGAGATATCTATTATAAATCACTGACCTTGAAGGCTATCATGCTATTTTTATGAGAATCCATATAATTACAGTGAATGAAAAATGTCAACTACTGGCAGCTCTAATCTAAAAAGTCCCAGGTTCACTTAAAAGATAACTTAGTGAGACAGTCATTTATCATATGTTTATTATTGGAACAAACCTATTAATCTGAATTATACTCATTTTCAGAGAACTATTGCAAATGTGATCCTGTCCATCAACACGTAACTAATGAAAAGGAGTATTCTCAATATAATAAGCTTGACAAAGTGCTTCATGACCCCTCTACAAGTACACTTTATAAAACAGGTGAAACTACAGAAAACTCTAATAACTACACTTGCAGTAATCACAGGGATGCCTCCATTGACTCATCAAACCCAGACAGACATGAAAGCATGCACACTGGAGAAGAACATTGCAAATCTAAAGATTGTGAGAAATCTTTAAATTTGTGTCCCAACCTTACTCAAGATCAGAGACTGGACACTGCAAAGAAAGAGCACAGGCAGGGAGAATATGATGACTATTTCAGTGCTGCATACAGTCTTTTGCAACAACCAATCTATATTGGAGAAACACCGTACCAATGTGGGAAATGTGAGAAATGCTTCAGTACTGCCTCAAGCCTTACTGTACATGAGAGAATTCATACTGGAAAAAAACCCTACAAGTGCAACTTTTGTGGCAAGTCATTTAACCAGTGTGCAAATCTAAAAACACACCAGAGACTTCATACTGGAGAGAAACCTTACAAATGTAAAGAATGTGGAAAGTCATTTCCTCAGTTATCAGCACTTAAAAGCCATCAAAAAATGCATACTGGAGAGAAACCTTACAAATGTAACGAATGCAACAAATTGTTTGCCCACTGTTCCAGTTTCAGGAGACATCAGAAAATCCATACTGATGAGGAACATTATAGTTGTGAAGAATGTGGCAAGGTCTTTCATCAGATTTCACACCTTAAAAGCCATTACAGACTTCATACTGGAGAGAAGCCTTACAAATGCAATGAGTGTGACAGATCCTTTCCCCACTATTCATCATTGAGTAGGCATCAGAAAACTCATTCTCTAGAGAATTTTCACAAATGCAAAGAATGTGGTAAGCCCTTTCTTGAATTATCACATCTTAAAAGACATTACAGGATCCATACTGGTGAGAAGCCTTACAAATGTGAGGTATGTGACAGATCCTTTACTGTGAATTCAACTCTTAGAACACATCAGAAAATTCATACCGGAGAGAAACCTCACAAATGTGACGTATGTGACAAATCCTTTACCAAGTACTCACATCTTAAAAGACATCAGAGTATTCACACTGGAGAGAGACCTTACAGATGTAAGGAATGTGACAGATCTTTTACTGAGTTCTCAACTCTTAGAGAACATCAGAAAATTCATACTGGAGAGAAACCCTACAAATGTGGAGAATGTGACAAATCCTTCATCCAGCGGTCAAATCTTAGAATACATCAGAGAGTTCATACTGGAGAGAGACCTTACGTATGTAAGGAATGTAACAAATCTTTTACTAAGTGTTCAACTCTTCAAGCACATCAGAAAATTCATACTGGAGAGAAACCTTACAAATGTATGGAATGTAACAAATCTTTTACCCAGGACTCACATCTTAGAACACATCGCAGAGTTCATACTGGAGAGAGACCTTACAGTTGTAAGGAATGTGGCAAATCTTTTACTAGGCGCTCATATGTTAAAGCACATCAGAAAATTCATACTGGAGAGAAACCATACAAATGCAAAGACTGTGGCTTTTCCTTTATCCAGATGTCGAATCTTAGAAGACATCAAAAAATTCATACTGAAGAGAAAAATACTGTTGTAAATAATGTGACATAGCATTTCCTGGTGTTCTGTGTTTACAAATAACAACAGTATACAAAATAGAAATAGATAAGAAAAATTTGAAAGTCTTTAATGAAGGTTTACATTTAAAACAATATCCTAGAGTGTATATTAAAATAAAACTGTACAAATGTAAGAGTGGGACAAGCTTTTTATTTCTTTTAATGTGTATGTGTGCTTTGCCTGCAAATATGTCTGTGCACTACATGTATGCCTGGTGCATGCAGAGGACAGAAGGGTTCGTTGGATCTCCTGAAACTGGCATTCTAAGCAGTTGTGAGCTGCTGTGTATGTCTTGGGAATTTAAACCCCATCCTCTGGAAGAGCTCTTAATGACTAAGCCATGTCTCCAGCCCCTGTGAAAAGCTGTAATAAAAACATTTATCTTGTTCCACATCCAAAAAATTATAATAGTGCCAGGCAAGGTGATAAACCTCTTTAATTCCAACACTCAAGAGGCAGAAGCAAGAAGATCTCTGTGAGTTGGAAGACATCATCACCATCTACATATTGAGTTACAAGACAGCCAGGACTACATAAACCGTGTCTCAAAAAAAAAACCAAAAAGTTATGATAACAAAGTACATGAAGTACATGACAAAGCCTTTGATTTTTCCTTTAATTGTTCTGTACACGATCAAATTCATAATTCTGAGAAATCATATAAAGGTATACCTTGTATAATCCCCATATCTTGCTGTTCATTGGAAATTACACCCCTAAAGTGCATTGGATTTGACAGATCTTTTACATAGTGCTGAAATTGCAGAGATAAAAGAAAATCCATCATGAAAGAAAAAGCTGTTAAATTTGTATCTTTTATTCACCTTCAAAATCTTTATACTAAGCCGGGCGGTGGTGGCGCACTCCTTTAATCCCAGCACTCGGGAGGCAGAGCAAGGTGGATCTTTGTGAGTTCGAGGCCAGCCTGGTCTACAAGAGCGAGATCCAGGAAAGGCGCAAAGCTACACAGAGAAACCCTGTCTGGAAAAAAAAAATCTTTATTCTGGAGTCAAATCATACAAATATCAAAAAGATGACTAACTAAAGAGATAGGCTGTGAATGTGACATCACTGGAATGCTGACATACAATTTAGAAATCCCCAAAGGCTAAGGATATGGTAACACATACCTTTAATCCCAGCTCTCTGGAGGCAGAGGAAGGTGAATCTCTGTGTTCAAGGCTAGTCATGTATAAACAGCAATTTCCAAGACAGCCAAGGTTACACAGAGACACTCAGTCTTGGGGAAAGAAATGAGGGCAATGGGGGAATCATTTTGAAGTACTGAAGGAAAAAGGGAAATTTAACTCTGAATTAAAATAAAGTGATATAGCTTACTGTCTTAGTTTGGGTTTTTATTGCTGTGAAGAGACACCATGGCCATGGCAACTCCTATAAATGAAAATATTTAAAGGGGGGGGGGGCTCACTTACAGTCAGAGGTTCAGTCCATCATGGTGGGGAGCATGGTAGCATGCAGGCAGACTTGGTGCTGGAGCTGAGAGTCCCATACCTTGACTCAAGAGGCTACAGGAAGTTGACTGACAGTCACATTGAGGAAAGCTTCAGAAAAAGACCTCAAAGCCCACCCACACAGTGACATCTATAAAATGCCGCCCCAAAAACTACCCCTTGAAATTTTGACAGGATTCTATCAAAACTCCAGAGAAAATATAACATCAAAGTTACTTGAAATACTTCTTAACAGTGGCACACACCTTTAATACCAGCACACCAGAGGCAGAGGTAGGTATATCGCTATGAGTTCAAAGATAGATTGGTGTTCCTAATTCCATGACAGTCAGGACTATAACATAAAACCCTTTTTCAAAACAAAAAAAATCAACAAAAAACAAACAAAATCTTCTTGACACACAAAAAAGGAGATTCCCCTTGACTCTCAGTTTTACCTGATATTAAACCAGATTATGTGCAGGGTGTGGTAGCACACTCCTCTAATCCCAGCATGCCAGAGCAGAGGTATGTCATTCTCAGTGACTTCCAGTTCATCTTTTTCTATAAAGGGAATTCCAGAACAGCCAGGGCTGTTACTCAGGCAAACTCAGTCTCAAAAAACCAAAACCAAAACCAAACAAAAAAAAACAGATAATTATACAGAGAAAAAGAATGTACTGACTGATATGGTCATTTAAAATAAATTTCTGAGAAGGGTAGGGTGGTGCACACCATTAATCCCAAAACACCCAAGACAGAGGTAGGCAGATCTTTGGCAATTTAGTCCAGCCTGAATCTACAAAGCAAATTCCAGAACTGCCAGTGTTATAGAGAAACGATTCAAAAAACGATGAATTTTTTTTAATAATAACTGTTTCACACACACATACATATGTGTACATAGACACACACTCTGTGTGTGTCTGAGCATGCACACATCAATCACTGTCCACTCTCACCTCCTACCTGTCTGCTATCCTGGTCCACAATTCCAACCAATCTCTCTAGAGTGTTCATCTCTATAAATTTTGCTTGGGATCCCCTGAGATTATCCAGGGCCATCTGTGAGACTGTGGGTTTGGAGCTATGTGTTGGAGTCTGGTTGGCTCAGCAGAGAACTACAGCTAAAGGCAGAGATTCTTCTCCTACACTCTATCTATAGCCAACATTTTAGAGGTAAAGGGCGTGCTCTATGAGCCTTTCCTTTTCCTAGTCTGATAGTGGTCTAGTGTGAGGTCAATGCAGGTCAGTACAGCTGCTGTTGGTTACTGATTACCACAGCTGTGTGGAGTCTAGAGAATGGCATGTCTTAGCCCTTCCTCCTTTTTCCCTTCTTATTCCCTTTCCTCCTCCTCTTCCTAATTGTTTCTGGAACCATAGATGGAAGGTGTAGTTGACATTTTTAGGCCAGGAACCACATGCCTTACTTACTTTCTAATTCTGGCACAGCAAGAGTGTCTGCACCCACCAGGGATGGGTGGGGTTAATGTGTTTGTGTGTCTGTGTGTCTGTGTCTGTGTGTTGGGGAGAGGGGTCTAATCACCTTATCCTGAGTCACAGGGGATAAACTTGTTCCTGAGTTAGTTAAAGGAAAACACCACCATCTCGTGGTGAGAGCAGTACAGTGCTACATTTATTTAACTTCTGGATTTATTTAATTGAGTAGTCTCCACATCAACTTCCAGAATGACTAGATTTTTGGTCATGGCATTATTATTCACTATGCTTTTTTTTATATTGTTGTTGGTTGGATTATTGGTAGTATTTATGTGTTGATATGTTGTGTACCCTAATAAAATTTGCCTGAAGATCAGAGGACAGAAAGAAGCCACTAAATTGAACATAGAAGCCAGACAGTGGTAGCACACACCTTTAATCCTAGAAGTCAGGAGGCAGATATCCATCTGGATCTCTGTGAATTCAAAGCCACCTTGAACAACATGAGATTGACTTGGTGTAGGAGAGAAAACAGAGCCAGGCAGTGATGGCACACACCTTTAATCCCAGTACTGGGAAGCACACACCCTTTAATCCCAGGAAGTGATGGCTGGGCAGAGAAAGGTGTATAAGGCTTGAGGAGACAGGAACTAAAGGCATTTGGGCTGAGACCTTTTCAGCTGAGGAAGCTCATTCAGCTTGAGACCTCTTGGCTAAGCTCTTTCAGGCTCTGGAGTTGGTGAGGTAAGAGGTCATGGCTGTAGCTTGATCTGCTTCTCTGATCTTTCAGCATTTACCCAAGTATTTTGTTTCAGGTTTTTCATTATAAGACCATTTTAAGAATCTTACAACATATTTTACTTCCTTCTGTGTGAGAATTGGTGATTTGCTGTCTTGCCCATGGATGATTACTTCCAAGTTCTCCTCTATTTATTTAGTCACCACATAGAATTATTATTTCCTGTATTTACATGGATAATTCTTCTGATACCCTTGTATAAATTTTACCTCTAATTATTGCTAGCCAAGCTGCTTTGGTAAAATTAATTATGTTATTTCAAGGCTATCTTCAAATGTACTTATGTCTCTATCAATTTTAAGATAATTTTTTTTCTTGATGCAAAAATAGTGTTGACAGTGATTTTCTCTTCAAGCTTGAAATATCATTCCACTCTCTTCTGTACTTGGGATTATTGTCTGGACACCTGGTCATAGTTTGTTGCTTGGGTTTTCCCCTGTGATTTGACATTATTTTCTAACAGCTTTCTGTGGGCGTAGTTTGTGTATGCTCTCACAAATAAAGCTTGCCTGAGGAACAGAGGGCAAACAAAGCCAGCCACTAGGTAGTCAAAGAGTCCAGGCAGTGGTGGCACACACCCTTAATCCCAGTACTCCAGAGGCAGAGACAGGCAGATGGCTGCAATTTCAAGGGCACCCTGGGCTACACAAGAATAAAGGGAAACTGAGCCAGGCAGTGGTAGCACACTCCTTTAATCCCAACACTTCACATCTCATGTCTTTGTTCTCAGTGCTGAGGAGGCACACACACCTTTGAACCCTGCGCTAAGGAGTTTGGGATCGGATGTCAGTGGTATGGCTGGGCAGAGAAAAGAATCTAAGGTGGGCGGAGACAGGAGCTCAGCTCTCTTTCAGAATCTGACAGTTTAAGAACTAGTAGCTGGCTGTGTTGCTTCTCTGATCTTTCAGCTTTCCCCCTGATAACAGACTTTGGGTTTTTATTAATAAGACCAATAAGAATTTGTGTTACAGCTTTTGGTATTAATTTTTTCCTTTTCTTTTTGACCCCTTATATGAAAGGTCAGAAAGTCATCTATTCCTTGTTCCTGAAAGAAAAACTCAGAGAAAAATTAGAAAGAAATGGATGATTCTCCAGTAAGCGTTTTCCAGGTCAGTGGTCATGCCTTGTTTTCTAGAAATGTTGTATGTTCAGATATTGCAAAGTTTTAATTTATTGCTACTGACAATATTTTAAATTTTATTATGACAATTGCTGCAAATAAACAACACACGAACTGAAAATAACTGGGCTCAATTACTGTACAAGTACTGTACAAATATTGCAATTTTGTTTAGTTAGAGTAGCCATTGGGAACTTAAGCTCTGGAGTCTTTCAAACAGGCTTTTATATCTTCTTGTTATTGAATATAATTTTATCAACTTATCCATCAGAAAAAAGAAAAAATACTTTGGAAGAATAACAGCTAGAAAATTACTTTGTTTATATACTTTTTCACAACTGTTGTTCATTACCTGCATTGAGTCCTACCTCAACCCTGTTTTTTAACCTTTCTTGATCTCTATTCTCCATGTTCTGCTGAACCCCCATGTATTTTGTTTCTCACAGACACATGTTATTGGCCTTTTTCTGCATATGAGGTCAAATTTGATTTCTTCTTTCTGGCAATGTGTGACCGAACTTATTATTACACATTCTATGTCTAACCATATTGCAATTTTCTCTTCAGCTGAATGATATTCCATTATGTATGTGTACAGTCTTCATATAATTAACTTAATTCTAATACTTTGCTATGCTGAAGGCAGTAGCAGTGAATGTGGATTGTAAACATCTCTGTAATGGGGTGTGGAGTTTTTAAATTATGTTTCCAGGGGTGACATTGTTGAGTCATGCATTAGTTCTATCATGATTTTTTTTAAAATAATCTTGAAACTCATTAACACACTGAGTGTATAATTTTCACACACCCACATCCACAGTGAATAAGGCTTCCTTTCTCTCCTCACTTTGCCTAACATTTGTTTTCTGGTTAGTTGATGACAGCCATTCTCAACCTGGGGTGAGGTGATATTTCAAAGCAGTTTTAATTTGGGATTCCATGATGGCATTTTTTTAGGGATCCTGAACACTTTTGTAATATTTATTGGCCACTTGTGTATTTGTCTTTAAAAAATGTCTATTCGCCTAGCCTGGTCTACAAAGTGAGATCCAGAAACCAAAAAAAAAAAAAAAAAATGTTTGCTGGGCGTGGTGGCGCACACCTTTAATCCCTGCACTTGGGAGGCAGAGGCAGGTGGATCTTTGTGAGTTCGAGGCCAGCCTGGGCTAACAAGTGAGCTCCAGGAAAGGCGCAAAGCTACACAGAGAAACCCTGTCTTGAAAAAACAAAAAAAAATGTCTATTCAGCTCCTTTGTACATCTATGAATGGCAGTATAATTTCCTTGGTATTTAATTTCTGTAATT